TTACTTGAGAATGTCACTATATCAATCAATAATACATTTATTATTTTGCCATACTTGAAAAGAAGATTTTTCCAACATTTTACTTTATCTCCCATTGTGACCCCTCGCTAACCCCCCCCCCCCCCCCCCTGGACATTATTTGAATAAATTCAAATCTTCACTACTTGCAGATGCTAAATTACATGTCAATTTAACTAAAACTTTTCTCTTCTGGGGAAGATTTTTCCTATATATTAATTTTATGCTAAACTTTGTTCCCTCATTATGGCCACACCCTACCCCGGGGGTCATGATTTGAACAAACTTGAATCTATACTATACTGCTTCCATACAAGTTTCATCTTTCCTGGCCTAATGGTTCTGGAGAAGAAGATTTTTAAAAGATTTTCCTAATATATTCCTATGTAAAACTTTGATCATCCATTGTGGCCCCACCCTACCGCTGGGGGTCATGACTTGAACAAACTTGAATCTACACTACCTGAGGATGATTCCACATGAGTTTCATCTTTCCTGGTCCAATGGTTCTTAAGAAGAAGATTTTTAAAAGATACCATTAATTTTTCATTAATTCATAATTATCTCCCCTTGAATGAGGGCATGACCTTTCATTTGATCAAATTTTAATCCCCTTTATTTAAGGATGCTTTGTACCAAGTTTGGTTAAAATTGGCCCTGTGGTTTTTGAGAAGAAGTCGAAAATGTGAAAAGTTTACAGACAGACGGACTACAGACAAAAGATGATCAGAAAAAGCTCACTTGAGCTTTTAGCTCAGGTAATCTAACAAGAGGCCCATGGGCCACATCACTCACCTGAGCACTAAGGGTAGGAAAAAGTAGAAAATGGCTTTTTATTGTAAAGTTTAAATCCAAAAGTAGTCCCATGACCAATCATGGATTTGCTATTTTTTAGAAAATGATTTTTAAAGAATTTTCCTATATATATCTTTAAAAACTTGGGTCGGCCATTTTGGCCCCGCCCTACCCCTGGGAGTCATGATTTGAACAAATTTGAATCTACACTACTTGAGCATGCTTCCATATAAATATGATGAATTATGGCTTTGTCATTCTTGGGAAGAAGATGTTTAAAGAATTTTCCTATATATTTCTATGTAAAACTTTGGTCGGCCATTTTGGCCCCGCCCTACCCCCGGGGGTCATGATTTGAACAAACTTGAAACTACACTACCTAAGCATGCTTCCATATATATATGATGAATTATGGCTTTGTCATTCTTGAGAAGAAGATGTTTAAAGAATTTTCCTATATATTTCTATGTAAAAATTTGGTCGGCCATTTTGGCCCCGCCCTACCCCGGGGGTCATGATTTGAACAAACTTGAATCTACACTACCTGAGCATGCTTCCATATAAATATGATAAATTATGGCTTTGTCATTCTTGAGAAGATGTTTAAAGAATTTTCCTATATATTTCTATGTAAAACTTTGGTCGGCCATTTTGGCCCAACTCTACCCCCGGGGGTCATGATTTGAACAAACTTGAATCTACACTACCTGAACATGCTTCCATATAAATATGATGAATTATGACTTTGTCATTCTTGAGAAGAAGTTTTTTAAAGAGTTTTCCTATAGATTTCTATGTAAAACTTTAATCGGCCATTTTGGCCCCGCCCTTATCCCTGGGGGTCATGATTTGAACAAACTTGAATCTACACTACCTGAACATGCTTCCATATATATATGATGAATTATGGCTTTGTCATTCTTGAGAAGAAGATTTTTAAAAAATTTTCCTGTATATTTCTATGTAAAAGTTTGGTCGGCCATTTTGGCCCCGCCCTACCCCCGGGGGTCATGATTTGAACAAACTTGAATATACACTACCTGAACATGCTTCCATATAAATATGATGAATTATGACTTTGTCATTCTTGAGAAGAAGTTTTTTAAAGAGTTTTCCTATAGATTTCTATGTAAAACTTTAATCGGCCATTTTGGCCCCGCCCTACCCCGGGGGGTCATGATTTGAACAAACTTGAATCTACACTACCTGAACATGCTTCCATATATATATGATGAATTATGGCTTTTTCATTCTTGAGAAGAAGATTTTTAAAGAATTTTCCTGTATATTTCTATGTAAAAGTTTGGTCGGCCATTTTGGCCCCGCCCTACCCCTGGGAGTCATGATTTGAACAAACTTGAATCTATACTACCTGAGCATGCTTCCATATAAATATGATGAATTTTGGCCTTGTCATTCTTGGGAAGAAGATTTTTAAAGAATTTTCCTATATATTTCTATGTAAAAGTTTGGTCGGCCATTTTGGCCCCGCCCTACCCCCGGGGGTCAGGATTTGAACAAACTTGAATCTACACTACCTGAGCATGCTCCCATATAAATATGATGAATTATGACTTTGTCATTCTTGAGAAGATTTTTAAAGAATTTTCCTGTATATTTCTATGTAAAACTTTGGTCGGCCATTTTGGCCCCGCCCTACCCCCGGGGGACAGAATTTGAACAAACTTGAATCTACACTACCTGAGCATGCTCCCATATAAATATGATGAATTATGACTTTGTCATTCTTGAGAAGAAGATTTTAAAAGAATTTTCCTATATATTTCTATGTAAAAGTTTGGTCGGCCATTTTGGCCCCGCCCTACCCCCGGGGATCATGATTTGTACAAACTTAAATCTACACTACCTGAGGATGTTTCCCCATAAGTTTCATCTTTCCTGGCACAGTGGTTCTTGAGAAGAAGATTTTTAAAATATGCCACCAAATTTTCATTAATTCCCAATTATCTCCCCTTGAATGAGGGCGTGACCCTTCATTTGAACAAAATTGAATCCCCTTTCACCCAAGGATACTTTGTGGCAAGTTTGGTTGAAATTGGCCCAGCGGTTCTTGAGAAGAAGTCGAGAATGTGAAAAGTTTACAGACAGACAGACGGACGCCGGACAAAATGTGATCAGAAAAGCTCACTTGAGCCTTCGGCTCAGGTGAGCTAAAAAGGATTACTACTTGTTTCGCGTTGGAAGAAGTTTTGAGAATAAATTTCCAATTTCCGTTAATTTCTATAGTGTTAAATGTTGAAAAGGAAATAAAAAATGTCGTTAATGAAATTAAAAATATTTCGGAAATGTTATGCAAAATTCCGGAAATGAAATGAAGCTTTGTTGCAGTAGAGTGGAAAGTGATTTGTAATTGCTCTTAAAAATTTCTTATCAATTTAGAGAAACCCCTCCTGATTTTTAACATTTTTTTCCCGCAGATGTCCTTACCCATCTCACCTTCTAATAAAAGTTGCTACGGGTCTGTCCTGTTCGTATCTCTCACAATATGCATCCTTTGGGAACAAATCACTTAAAAGGTTTGTCACTGACTGTCCACAGCTATAAAGTGCCTCACCATCTACCAAATGGAACATCAACTTGGCCTTTTCTGTCAAGTCGAGAATTTTTCTCGAATTGACGGAAAAAAACCGAGTGATGTTCCAATTGCAAGGTCGTAACTACCGTTGAGGCAAGTGAGGCAAATGCCTCACTAAATTTTAAAGTTTTCTGGAAAGTGAAAAAGTTTTACATTGAACTTTATGTGTGTCTTCGTGCTATTTAAATTAATATTTTTAACTTTTGTTTCAATTTCTGTAAATCGTTCAACGCACCAGGTGCTTCATTTTCATTTAGAACGCATTTAAAATATAATTCAAAATGTTTGTTTTGTAAATTATTTGATTGATTAACATCCCTTCTAATTAAGAATTTCTCACTCATATTTAGACACCACTACTTGCCGGTGGGGGCTGTGAGTTTTAAATCTGTAGTGAAGATGATTGAACAGTGATAGATATTTTGTGCCATCACTTACTATGACATAGGACCTCGGTTTACACCGTCTCATCCGAAGGACCGGTCTCCACATCCTGCAGTGGAATTCGAGGATCAAAGGATCAAATCCGTAGTCTGCAACTCTAGAGCATACGCTCTAACCACTGTGCCATGCGGGCGATAATTCAAAACGTAAAAACTTTCTAAGATTAAATCTTTCATTTTTTAATACCCAGGTTTCAGGATCCCCCTCCCTTGTAACCCCCCATCACTGCCCATCAGGTACTACCCTTACCCCGTCTGGCACCAGGAATGCCCAGCACCCTTGCCTCACTAAAAATTTGAGTCTAGTTATGGCCTTGCAATTGCACCATCTATGATATTGATCAACTCGCTATATTTCTGTGGACAGTCGGCGACAAACCTAATGAGTAATAATATATGATGGTATTTTCTCAAAATTATCCTTAATTAAGAAAAGGTACATAGCATTGACAGACACGTTACTATTTTTCTTTTCATAAAAAAAACACCCTTACCTATTATTAGGTAGGGGTATTTTGTTCTATTAATAGAAAAATAAGTAATGTCGGGTGCCTGTGATACTGTAAGTAGTATAATTAGGCATTATAAAAGTCCCACAAACGATCTTCATTTATTGGAATTCTTCAGTCATACATGAAAGAAGACAATTAATGTTCAAGACTATATTCCATGGGTCCTTTTTCTTGTTAATGATAATTTAATCTCTTGTTAATTTCTCATGAGTTCAATGCCCCTCCCCCCCAACCAAAGTCAGAAACAGATCAACTAATGTCATTTTACTGATTAAAGGAAAAAACTGCAGTATAGCATGTTTTTATTTGCCCTACTTCTTTTTATCAATACAGCAAATTTTAATGACATGCAAAACTGTACAAACAATTATTAAAATTGCTATAGCAAAACATGCCCAATACAGGCTGTTGTTTATATTACACTTCTGTTTCGGATTGTCTAGGATGGACACCATTGTAAATGTTGAAATACTCCCTATAAGATGAAAAATAAAGATGTTATTAGCTGACTATTATCTCCACAATCCTTATTTCATTAAATTTGATAATCAAGGCCTTTCTCTTCAGATCATCATATTAAACAAAATTAATTAATCAATGGTTGGTTACCTGATAAAAATATTTGTAAGAATTACTCTTTTTCTCTGATTTAATATATGCATTTCATAAAAATGTGTAAATAAATTTACTTTTGAGTGAATTTATTATATGTATGCATTTGTTGTCAAGTGAAATGAAACTTACATATGAACAGGCTTATTGGGAAAGCAATTCGAGCAAAACCACCAATTACTCCAAACCGTACTTTATATTTCCTTTCCTTTGAGTTAAATTCCAAGACTTTCATGAGAAAAATCATAAAAAGAAAGGAACCACAAATGATTTGTTTAATGACATGGTCCACCTCACATCCATCCAGCACCAAAACCACGATTCCTGGCAATAAAAAACAAGATGTGTTTGTGAAACATTGAAGCTTCTGTGTGGCACCTTTTGGCAAGGGATGAATTTTCTCAAATGCAAGTCTAACTCCAACATCAAGAGATAAAAATCTTGTTCATCAAAACAAAAGATTTGTGTCGATGAATATATATTTGAAATATGAAAGCCCAAGTACTAACCTCTTAAAGTTATCAAAAAGATATTTTTTAAGTGGGTCAAACTCCAAGTTCAAAAGGTTAAAATAAATGGCACTCAGAAGAAGAGATTGTTATTAGAAATAAACTAGTAAAATGTAAAAGTCCTAGCACCAAATGTCCAAAAGTTATGGCCAAGGATAACGTTTTTCAAAAGTAGGTCAAACTCTATTGTCAAGGTCACATGGAAAAGTCTTGTCACAATGAATTCACAAGTGAAGTATGAGAGGCCCAGTAATCAATGGTTCAAAAGTTATGGCCAAGAACAAATTTTGGTAATTTTTTTTTTACAAAAGTGGGTCAAACTCCAAGGTCAAGAGGTCAAGAGATACCCGGAGGAAAGTCTTGTCATAATTAAGGAATAAACATATGCAATATGAAAGCCATAGCCCCACCCACTCAAAAGTTATGGGCAAGTTTCAAGTTTTTGCAGACAAAATTCAGACAAATACTGGTATACAGACAAACGGACAGGGCAAAATCTACATACCCCCAAATCTTCAATTACGGGGCATTAAAACACCATGCATTTATAATGAATATATTTAAAATCCTGATATCCAGTACTGATGGAGGGCATTTTATTTTATTTTTTTTAAATTAATGTCAACAACAATAAATGGGAATTATCCTCATTGAACAGCTCAGTATCTGCAAGGGTGTGGAAAACCAAGTAAGACAGATTGGTTGCCATATGGACAGACAGGTATAGTCAGAAAGAGAAATGAGATTTATGGGTGCCTCGTACTTAATAATTCATGGGTAGGGTAGTCGAAATTCTGTGATAAATTCAGTGAATTCTCCTACTAAGCTTATAGTTATAATGAATGTTTATCAAGAATGTATGGCAAGAATAATCCATATAAACATACCTAGGGCGATTGCAGAGATTGACAGGAGGGCCATACCTATGGACTCCAGGACAAACTCTCCTGTAAACAAAAATCTACATATAAGTCTGGAAGAAAGAAATTTAGTGTGACGGGGCTCCTCTTTTTGTTGCATCAGTACATATGGGACTCTATGTATAGTTTTTGCCATTTACTCAATTCTTTATTTCTCTTTGTTTGGTAAATACTTCATTTTGTCGTTTTGTGAGTTTTCTCATCCTCTGGTCACACTTTATTATTGGTTTTATGACTTACTATATTCCTTATTTCTCTATACCTGTTTTATTGATGTCGTCCGCGGTGGTCACAGCCGTGGTGACATTTTTTGCTCAGCTTTCCAAACAATAAACCCAGGGGCCACGGCCATTGTCAAAGTTTTATGTAGGTAATTCCTATTCACTTAAATGTAAATTCTGTTAGAGTTTTTTCATGCATGGGATTTAATTTAATCCTGTAAACTCGTATATTGGTTTCGATCGCAAATTCTTAAAGACGATTCATATATACACAAAACATACGTAGCCAAAAATTCACTTGCAAACAATAGTACAATACGAAAGCCGGATAGGCTCATTTCTGAGAAGATAAAAAAAAATTTAACTCGTTATAACGAGTTAATTATCTCGTTATAACGAGTTAGTATCTCGTTATAACGACTTAGTTATCTCGTTATAACGAGTTAGTTATCCTTATAACGACTTATATCTCGTTATAACGAGTTAATATTCAATTATAACGAGTTTTTTCTTTATAACGAGTGATCTGTTATAACGACTTAGTTATCTCGTTATAACGAGTTAATAACCATAACGAGTTAATTTTGATTATGAGTAAACCAGCACAAAAGTTGATATATCTAAGTGATAGGAAGTATTTATAACATATAAAACCGAGAGATCAAGTTTGATAGTGTGTATGATAAAGATTTTTATTGAAAAACAGCAACCTAGTTTATTTTTTGTTTTTGTTTTTCGAGGGGTTGTTCCTGTGATTGTATTCTGTTTATGTATAAACGATGCAGTTGATTTGTATTGTATACTTAAAAGACCGAAGACAAACACATGTACAGGTATATGGAAACATATGACTGCCTCTTGATGTTGTTGTTATGAGTGGGCATCGCAATTTAATGGCCTCATCATGATTTCTCCATATCCCCCTTCTTCAAAACATTTCTGACTCTCAAAATAATATATATCACTCTGTATGTGTATATAATATATGCTGCATTAACGCCGGTGTTAGCTTCCTATTATAATGTATTAATTTAGTTACTAAGACATTGGTTATGAAAGCTAATAAGTCATCCAAAACATGTCAGAAAAATTATTTCTTTTATGTTGAAAGTTGTCATAAATAAATTGCCAAACTTTGAAGCAAGTACATTTGGTAATAGATTTTTTTTATATTGTTTCCTTGGAGACGTTCACGTATAAATGTGTAAATAAAAATTGCTATACTTATCAAATTGTGATTATTGACAGCAAGATAGTTCAGGATTAATATTATTTAAACCATATCGCAAATTAAAATTGCAACTTTTTATCAATTTTTAAGTGAAGTATGACTGATAATTATCAACTAAACATCAATGGCATTAAAACTACAGCCATTTTTAAATTATAATTAACACGTTATAACGAGATAATTAACTCGTTATAACGAGATAAATATTTCGTTATAACAAGATAACTAATTCGTTATTTTTTATTTTTTTTAAAACGAGATTTAACTAACTCGTTATAACGATTGATATAACTCGTTATAACGAATGTCGTTATAACGGTGGTTAACTCGTTATAACGAGAAAACTAACTCGTTATAACGAGATAATTAACTCGTTATAACGAGATAACTCTCGTTATAACGAGTATATTAACTCGTTATAACGAGATAACCATTCGTTATAACGTTTTAACTCGTTATAACGAGATAACTAACTCGTTATAACTTAAATGTAACTTCGTTATAACGAGTTTCGTTATAACGAGATGCAACTCGTTATAACGAGATAAGTAATTCGTAATAACGAGATAAAACTAAGTCGTTATAATAAGATAATTAACTCGTTATAACGAAATTCGTTATAACGAGATAACTATATATACACAAATTAACTCGTTATAACGAGTTAATATTTTTTTTTATCTTTTCGGAAATGAGCCTATCCGGCTTTCGTAGTACAAATAGCCAATTGCATGGTGGTAATTTTTTTATTTGGTCTCTCCGTCATAGTGAAAGACGAATAATGACCCCAATAGAATAAACGGTAACGTTTTGACCCAGGACCTCTGGCTTGCGAGGATGCCCTATCACATTTATGTATATGTACACGAATTTATTCAATTCGTTTGATCACACTGACAATTCAATAAATTAAATGGCACATGTGTGTTTTTTTTTAATTCTTCTTTTTATATGGATTCGTTGTGTAAAACGATATATTTTTGGGACCGATTTGATGCTTTGCAGCAATTTCAACTTGTAAATTTTGCATCACTCTAAAAGGGGTCATTTTTCAAAGGGGGTCAAATTTTCATAGACTCACATGTAAAAAAATGATCTCTTGAGCTCTTTTTCTACAACAAATGATTTTTTTTCTACGGTTGGGGGTTATCTTTCGTCGTTGAAAATTGACCCCTGTCATTATTCGATGGGGGTCATTATTCGTCTTTTATCACGTGTATTATATTTTCTCGAGTTCTCTACAAAATTAAAAAAAAAAAAACAATACCAACGTATTGTCCATGTAATAATGTCGTCCCGAACGAAATTGCGATTGTACGCATGCTTTTGTTGTCCAGGCGTTTTCTCGGAGATGGCTGGGACAATCTTCCTGAAACTTTCCTTAAAGGAGGATCACTGGTTGTAGTTGTGCCATGTGGTCACTCAGGTTTAAAATGGCTACCGTTGCCATGGAAACCTACAAAAAGCGACGAATTTTATCCGCGAGTGTTCTCTCTGGTCCCTTGAACATTCTTCATGAAACTTTACTGATTTATTGATTAGTATCTGTCATTGTGCGTGTTGCATTTAAAAATTGCAAATGTCAACAGTTTGCATTTCAAATTGCAATTTGTCAATAGTTTCCATGGAAACAGGGGAAAAGTGAAAAATCTTTTACCTTGATTTTTAAATCAAAGAACTGAAAGTACTGATAGGAGTTGATGGTTGTCCAGGCATAGCTAATCGGTATTTTTTAGTGATGAGCAAAAATGAAAGTTTTGTCCATTTCGGGACGACATAAGCTATTGCTTGCGATAGCAGACTCTCTAGTTATATTTGGGTTTCCTATCTTCAATAATTGTTGTTCATAAAGATCGATCTATGTCGAACAACTCTATAACACTGCGCCCATATACATTTCAGAATACAATTTTTATGCCTCCGTAAACGAAGTTTCGGGGGTATACAGTTTTTGTCGTGTTCGTCTGTCTGTCTGTCTCACTGTCTTTTTGTCCGAAAAAACTTTAACCTTGCCCATAACTTTTGATATAGTGGAGCTATGATATTCATATTTCACCTGTGTATTCCTTTTGACAAGACCTTTCTTTGGGTACCACAAAATTTGACCTTGACCTTGGAGTTTGACCTACTTAAACAAAAAATCCAAACTTTTACTTTTGCCATACAGTGGAGTCGCCAATTCCGGGTCGTCTCCAATTCCGGGTCACTCGCGTGTATTTTATGCCTTATTGTTAAAATTTAAATGCAAAAAAAACTTAATGAATACGCTCGTCATGAAGAACTGGTCTTTCTGTATGTAATTAATTACAAAATTTTGAATATCAACTTTAAGAGAGCATCCGACAATCGAAATTCTGAAACGCACGCATTAAAGCTTGGATGTTTCTGCTGCGGTGATGGGCTACTTTCGTTTTTGTTCGCTGCAGAAATGCTGGTATAAAAATTCTAGATAAATAATAAGAGCTCGAAAGTATGGGAAATGCATTAAGTTTTAACTCAGAAATCAATCATAATGATCGTTGCTCAAATAAAATTATAATGATTATTAAATCTAACCGTAGTAGTTTCTCCAATTGCGGGTCACGCAATCTTGTGGCATGAACATGTCAAAATTCTATGTACAAAACCAATCGACAACCATGTATTTACCTTGATTATCAAAAGTATATTGACTGGATTTTTTTTCTTCTAAAAATTAAAATCGTGTTAACCATTCAAATGCATTTTTTAATAAATGAATTTAATTGTATCATTTTTAATCCTAATATATTTTTTTTAATTCTGTATACTGAAATTTGTTTTCTTGTAATTGTTTTAAAAATAATCTAAACATATTTCTGTTGTTGTTTTACTTTTTTTTCAAGCTGTATGAATTCTTTCATGTTTCAACATCATAAAAATCGTGTTCCGAAACGCTCCATGAATATTACACGACCGTGAAGTCATATGATCCGGAAATGGAGAAACTAATTCGTAACTGTGTAATCTAGGCCTTGCTGAAATACCCCTGTAAATATTGTTCCTGTGTAGCTACTTTGAAAACGAAAAGGTGTTTGGATGACTCACTATTTGTTCTTTCAATACATATATTGCATAAAATATTAATTAAACAGATTTGCAAAATATCAACGAAACACCCTGACGTGAACCGGAATTGGCGACTTCACTGTATCTTTTGAATAGTAGTAACAAAGACATATATACTTTACAGATGTACTTTTTGTGGCAAGACCTTTCATTGGATACCAACAACCTTGACCTTGGAGATTTTTATACTTGTGAAAAACTTTAACCTTGGCCATAACCTTTTAACGGTAAGGGATAGGGCTTTCATACTTCACATATGTAATCCCTGTGAAAAGACCCTTTATTGGATACCACTTTTGCTTTGACCTTGGAGTTTAACGTACTTTTAAAAACCAAACCTTGACCATAATTTTTAAAGGGTTAGGGATAATATTTTCATATTTAACATATTGAATCCTTGTGACAAAGCCTTTCATTTGATAGCAAGACTTTTGACCCTTTGACCTTGACATTGGAGTTTGACCTACATTGTACTTTTTAAAAAAATAACCTTGGTCATAACTTCATAGCGGTAAAGGCTAGGGCTTCCATACTTTACATATGAATTATATGTGGCAAGATCTTTCATTAAATACCAATTACCTTGACCTTTTGACATTGGAGATTTTGTACTCATGAAAAAACTTTAACCTTGCGCATAACTTTTGAACGCTATGAGCTAGTGACCTTATACTTCACTTACCGGTATGTAATCCTTCTGAGAAGACCCTTCAAAGGATACCAAGAACTTTGACCCTGACCTTGGAGTTTTACCTACTTTTAAAAAGAAAACTTTGACCATTCCTTTAAACAAGTTTGTGAAAAATAAGTATCGGTAGCCTCACTTAAAGTTATCATTTATGGTGGATACAATGACGTTGTCAGCAGATACATTTATCAATCAGTAAAATACTGACTGACGTTTTACGCACTTTTTGTTAATGGCTACTTTTATCAGTGATGTTGGGTTCTATTTATGAAGAAATTATGAGTATGAAAAAATGAAAAGTTTTCAAATTTTAATATTCAACTTTTACTTTTGCTTACCGCACAGAAAGAAGTTGTAGACGCATGACTGTTCGTAAAAAGCAGCTGGTATCTGGAGATAACGGAAATAAATTAAAGGCAATTGAATTATCAAATAGTACTTTCTGAGCTTTGTTTACAATATTAATTGCACTTGTTGAGTACTTGACATTTATGAAGTACGTAGCATATTATAAGCTGTTGCATTTGAAAAATATTTAAATAACTTGATGTAAAATCAGCAAACATAATTTTCCTGTATTTTACTGGCATTTCGTTCAACATTGGGTTTTGGAAATCAAGGTAATGTAAAATGGGTAAACCCTTCAGGACCGCTTTATTCCTCACATTCCTAAAGGTTCTTAGTAAAGAAGTATTTGATGAATGGGCAAAGAAAGAAAAAATAAAGATCGCTTCATCTTTTATGAAATGATTATAATATGCACTAATAAGACGGAAAATAGTGTCAACACAAAAAATCTCATCTTTGATAAAGATCATGACAAAATTCGCGTAGGAAAATCGTTCAAGTGAGTTAATGTTTAAGATTAATGATATTATTATAATCTATATCTATCTGTATAAATGGTTGATAAAGGGGGAAACATTTTTATTAAAGAAGTACGTATTTGAAGGAAACTTAACCAATATAAGTTAGATTTACCGTCGTTTGCACAACTTTTAAATAAAATAAATAATTGAATAATTATAGAAAATGTCAATTTTTAAAATAAATTTCTCAAACATAATACTTATTTAAAAAAAAAAAACATTTTGATAGAAATTCTTCGATATATATTTATTTATAGTGGACAAATAAAACATTTGCAAAAAAAAAAAAAAAAAATTATGACATCGCGTAAGGATGAGATTGTCTTATATCTAGGGTGTCTAAATTTGTTGATTTCTTTAAACTACAAATTCAATACTATTAATAATTGAAAAAGTGAAGATAATAAGCAGTGGTCCACCTAAAAAAAAATCCATAAAGAAAACATATCTGTGAGAAAAATTATTTTTTAAAAATATATTATCAATCCTTATTTCAAAGATAAAAATAAAACATAAGTATTGATTTTGTTGTAGAAAAAATTCTTACTTTAAAAGATTTCATTTAATTTTTTTTCCTTTTAACAGATGATGATCCTGATATATTCCAGTCTCTTTCTCTTTTCGCTTACTTCTGCTGTCATTGGTCCTGGTTGAACTTCTGTTAATCCTTACAACGGTTTCTTGAGTGAGTATTGCTTTTTCTTTCAAATAGTTCAAATGTAAAAATTAATGATATATGAACACTATATTGATATCTTACATGTTCATATAATGTTGATAATAAGCTTCCAAAGAAACAAAATGGTCTTCAAAATCTTTGTGAAGTCTTACGGAATAAATCAATTCCACAACACAATAGAAAAAACATCAGGGTTTATTAATTTATTACAGCATTTTTTTTCTTTTTGCAGCTGTGGTCTTGTTTTGCTAAGGATTTTTAATTCATTTATCTAAAAAATATTTTTTTAAAGATTTTTACTGCAAAACATCTGTCCTTGGAGTAGACTACATCGGAAGTAACTCTAAAACCAAATCCGGTAGAACCTGTCAATTCTGGGATCAGCAGTCTCCACATAGCCAAAGTGCTTATAAATACCTCCCAGGATCACCTTCTGCTCACAAGAATTTCTGCCGTAACCCTGACAACGAGCTGGGGGGACCTTGGTGCTATACGACTGACCCAAGTGTTCGATGGGAGTACTGTGACGTACCATTTTGTCGTATGTTATATCTTATTTCATAATTGTTTAGAAATACAGTACAAGTTTACTTGTAATTAATAATTATTTTCAAGGCATTACTAGATACATATGTATTTAAACTTATATCTTTTAATTTCAGATTATGAATGCAAATATTCTAAATTGGGAAAAGAATATATTGGCTTAAAAACAACGACATTATCTGGTAGAACATGCCAGAGATGGGATAGGAACCACCCACACAAGCATAGCAATGCTAATCGATTTAGTGGACCTGCTTCCTGTCATGAAAACTTCTGCAGGAACCCGGATAATTCACCAAACGGTCCCTGGTGTTATACGACTGACCCCAATAAGAGATGGGAATACTGCAGTATCCCATACTGCTATGGTGGAGTAAAAAGGCTTTGAGTTAGATACACATGTATTTGGAAAAATCGCTGTACCCTTCCAATAAAAAGTAATTACCTTTGCAATAGCATTTTGGATTGGTTTTCCTTTCTTTTCTTTGAATTACCGGTAAATATTTCCATAAGAAATGGACAAAATGAAGATACTGATTAAATTTTTTTTAATGGCGTTATCTCTGTAATGGTTTACGATTATGAACATCAATCCTGCTCCTAAATAACATCAAGCATGGCAAACATTCCGATCACAGTAGACAAGTGATCGGATGGCCCGGATGAGATTCTCGATCACCTAAAGTTTAATATTATATGGATTTTTTTTTCAAATTAGTTAATACATGTATTTTTGCATTCCAGAATTTCATAGGAATAGAAATAAAACTTTTCAGTTATGAAAAACTTGTCCAAAGTTTATATTGCATATTTCTTGCTTTGATCTTAGTTTGGCTAGAAATATATCACTCAACATATTTCTCATTACTTATCTTTTTCAAGTTGTTATTTGGATTGCTTTAAAGAGGCTGGGGGTGGCAGCCATTTTTAGACTATTTCGATCTCCTTTAAAAGAAGAGTTCCATATAAAGATATACAAAAATGGTCAAATTTTAAAACTAAAACGTATGATTTTTTTCTTTGCCAAATGATAGTTGACAGCTTAAGATACCCTATCTAAAAAAATAAGTTAAATCTGGTGGTTAATTTGTGGTTAATTTGTTGACCCCCAGCCTCCTTAATGGTCATCATAATACATATCGTGTAATGTTTTCTAATTCCTTCGTTGAATTTCTCAAATGCTTAAATATCTGATATCTGCAGGTTTCTGTATCATTTCAATTTTTCGTAAAATTTTCAAAAAATTTGAATCATACATTTTCTTTTAAGAAATACTCCCTCCTGATTTTTTTAATCCAACTAACGTATTTTGTCAAAATTCTCAAAATACATATTGCATAGTCTAGAATAAGGCGAGTTTTTGAGTAACAAAGGAAAACGACTGAAATTCAAATATGTTTTTATAATGATGTAATACATGATGATTAACGAATAGTATTCAAGCTCAAAAGTATTTCACAATGCATCACTTGTTTTAGTTACGTTCTCGTGACAAAAATGCTTATTTTTCACCAATTACCAAAGCAATAAACAACTGAAACATTATATTTCATTATTATCTTTGCTATGTTGCCATACGGGGGGCATCAGTGTTTCAAAACACATCTTTTTTTCATGCTATAACTGAAGCCTCAGATTATTCCTCTTTAAAGAGTTGGGGCTCGATTTCCAGACACGAATTATGAAGAAGTGTCCAGAGATTCTGTAGGCGTCAGTCCAAATATCTAGCCTAGCAGAATCTCACCAGAGATTAATAATGCCTAGACAAATATTCAATTAGCTGAATAGTAAATAGGCGTCTTTACAAAGAAATGCTGATAATATCTAGTAATCTGCTTCACACAGAACAGTCAACTCTGCGTGTTTATATTCATCGTCCCATCCGTTTTTCTCGATTCTGATGTCGAACTGATTGAACAAGGAATTGTCCGGTTGTCCTGGGAGCCACGATGTAAAGCCCATTCTGACACCTGGCGACCAGTAAAAGTCTCTGAAAGGCCAGAAGGAGTACTGAGCATATCCCGATATCCAGTAGGTACCATCTAAAATTAAAAAAATAGAAAAACAAAATGAGACCCGAAAAAGTTCGTAATCTGTTGTAATTATTTAATTGATTATTAATTTTTTTTATTAAGCTCATAAAATTCTTACTGATATGCGGCCGTAAGGTGTTCCATTCTTGCGAGGTCTCAATGCGGGAAAGATACATTCCTCTGTTTGTACAAAGAGCCTGAAAGAAGCCGGAATAAAGTCTTTACGTCAACCTTTCACTCCAATCCCGGATTTACTAATGGCAACTGCTATATATTTACATGTTTAACGGGAGGCCCATGAACCACAATGCTCGCCTGAGTAACTATGATAATGGCCTTTCTGTACTTCATCAGCAGGTTCTTTCTTTGACCATAAATTATGGACCCATTCTACGTCAAAGGGGTCAAGGTATGAACATACCCCAGGATGCTTCTATATTGGGACTGGTATGAGTAATGATCTTGGATGTATTGCTCTTTAGAAGACTTTTTAAGTTATAACCTGTATACTCCTAATAATAAGTAGATGTGTACTTTCAGTCCACTGCTGTGGCCTTGCACTCTACGCAATATACCCTTCCCGAGGCACAGTGGTTCCGGAAAAAGTATATAAAAAGTGAAACATTTATGACAGATATAGATATATAGACACACTGACACTTTTCGAAGATTTGTTAATTTGAGACTTTAATTGACTCAGGTCAGCTAAAACCTATACAAACACACTCCCAGACACACCACAGAGAGAGAGAGAGAGAGAGAGAGAGAGAGAAATAGATCCTAACGTTTGCATCCGTGCGCGTTGCTTTGACAGTGGTGAAGAAATAACACCAAGTCCCTATCCGTCTGTTTCCGTGGGCGATACAAATATCTGAAATTAAAACTGGGCAATATAAATATCTGAAATTAAAACTGGGCAATACAAATATCTGAAATACAAATATCTGAAATTAAAACTTGGCAATACAAATATCTAAAACTAAAAATGGGCATATTAAAAAAACATTAACGCACTGATTATAATGTTCTTATGTTTTTAAAAATGTAATATGATATGATACAGAGAGGTCAGAAAATTCCTAAATAATTTCCAAATGTCTTCAGTTTTATTCTGGTATCCTTCATTTTCAAAGAACGTTTTGTATCAGAAAACTCCGAGTACTATCTCACTATTTACTCACTTCATAAATATACTAGTAACAGATGTATTTGTACGTACATGCAAGCAATTGTGTTTTCTTTGCCAATGTGAAAAGTAACGAAATTCCACCAAGTTTTACCTATGCACTGAAAGACTACTTCTGACCATTTCCCATTGTCCTGGCACGTGGTATATGACTCCCAGAATCCTATGTATCCCACAGAACACGTGTAGTTGTGGGTGTGTCCAATAGGCAAGGGGCCCTCGGGAGGGGTTCCCTCGGAATTTAAAACAACAGGAGGAGAGTCACACTTCTTGACTATAATTCATTAATTTGAGTTGTTAGGAGATGTATATTTTTAGTAAACATTTTCAAAATGCCAAATATTTCAAAAATATTATTTCAATGACTTAGTCTAGATACGAGTATTTTCTGGCAATAGTCTTCTAAAAATAAATGCTATAAATTTCATTTTTGTCGTTTTAAGATCAGCAGTTTACTAGTATATTATCAATATATACCTACCAAATATCGGCACACAGTTCCCTCCTAAGCACATAGACATATTCTCACAGGAATGATGAAGACAACCATCATTGACAATCTGTAAAGGGAGGCCTAGGTTTATTGTACGATTTTGGGGAATATTACATGTAATATATAAAGACCTTAAACACAATGAATAATATATGTCTTAGCAGAAATCAAGAAGGCATGAGAATACAGTGTCATCAATTTAAAACTGATAATTGCAAATATAGGCCCGTCTTTGATATGGTCTTTGGAAGATGGGTTTTGCGTGAAGTTTAGATCGTCAAAGCCGGATGGACTTGATACTTCTATGTGATTCTCGATGAGATGGATCTTTAAAAAAAGGACATTTAAAAATGGATTTATTTTCTTTCTTTCTTTCTTTCTTTCTTTTCTTTTGGGGGGGGGGGGGGGGTTAATATTCTGTTATTAAAAGGATTTACTCTAATTCTTGAAAGACAGAGTTCCACCAAGCATTCTTGAGATAGCAGGTTTCGTAGATCAATTTGCAGATGCAGGAAACATACATTTTTGTCTATTACTAGTACACAAAGGCTTATATTTGACAAAAAACTCCAAAATTGATAAACAATCTCATCCCATGGACATGCAGAGTGATTCAAAGAAAATCCAAGAGAAGAGTGGTTCATAAGCGTGGCAAAGTCGGACATAAATCCCTTGACTGTGATTAAGAATTGAAATTGGTGCTTACTTTTTTTCCGTTAATTTATCCCCCCCCCCCCCCCCCACTTTCAATTAGCCACCCCACTTTCAAATTTGCTTCCGATGTTCATGTACCATAGGTGTCGGGAGCAAATTGAAAGAGGGGGGGGGGGCTAAACCAACGAAAAAAGGTAAGCCCCAATTTTCAATGCTTATATTATGTCTATCTTTGAAAAAAAGGGGGCTAAGCCCCCTAACCCCCCTCCCCCCGGTTCCAACGCCTATGTGTACGCATAATACCCCCCCCTCTCTCTCCTTTTCAGCTTTCGCGCTCTACTGACCAACGTTGATCACGTGATCTGACCTTGAGTAAGAATTCATCAGACTGATATTTGATTTCAATCGAATAGCAGTTACTTGCATTTTGCTTCTGCAAAAAGCCTTCCAAGCGATCTATCAAAGCGTTCTATTATCATCGAAGTCACAGAAGAAGATTATTTCAGACTGAGGTAAGATTATTTAGGAAGAAATCGTTATTTTTTTAACTTTATACAACAATTTTTGTTGACAACGTGAACATTGGTGAGTACTCGATTGTTGTTCGCCGGCCGCCATTTTCAGGTCACGGTTCAATATAAGCCATGCATTCTGATTGGTATATGAAATATTTGTTTACTTTATTACCATACATTGTGTAATTTTAACATATTTATTAGTTTTGTGTAGTTTGTACCAGTTAAATAAAAGGTGAAATTATAGCGGGAAACGTCTTCATGCATAATGACGGCGCATGCTCTTGGGCATGTTGGGAGGTACTAGTATAGTAGCTGTACTAGTATAGTAGCTGCAGAACTGTAGCGTTATGGTTTTATATATTTGTCTTTGGCCATAAGGATACAGATCCCGTAAGGCAAAAAATGTGCAATTTACAGCGCAATATTTTATGCGCACTTCAGGGGAGAATTACTTTTACCATTGGAAATGTACACTTTATACTAGAGGAAATTGATGTAAGGGAAATGTAGTATTGAATTCCAAAAATTGGTACTGAAAGAAGTTTCCATTGGAAAAAGTTAACACTACCCCCTTTGCTTGAAAACACCATTTCTTTTGTCATTAATGTTACTCCTATAAACGTTTTGATTAAAGAAGTAAAAAAAAAATTTCAAAAAAAAAAAAATGCCTACCTACCTACCCTATATTTTTTCAGCCTGAAAGCGGAAACAAAACAAACATTTTTTTTCTAGGCCTTATTATTATTCTTTTACCCTTTAACTCCCCCCCCCCTTTGAAAAATTTCTAGATCCGTGCCTGTATGTGAGCTACATGTATGAATGTGACATGGGCATGTTTCAGGTAAACCATATTATAGACAATATATCAAAATGAGGAAAATATATAAACAAGTAAAATTGATGTAAAGCATCAAATCGGCTGCAAACAAAATTTAGCAATTTAATAAAAAGTGCTTGAAATCACAATTTTAAAAACATCCATGCAAGGAGAGCACAATATATTCAAAGCTGAAAAAGTGATCACAGTGATTTTTTTTTAGACTGTCTTCAAAGCAAGATAAATAAATAATTTTTTAAAAATTAAAAATTTTAGTGCATATTTGCTTATCAAATGGATTCATTGATGTTATAAAGTCAATGATACGAATTTATTGTCCTTAAAATGAAGATGTATGCCTTTCAAGATTACGTGCATGTTGATACCCTGAAGAAGATTATATCACATGCTGATACCCTGGATCTTTGTCATGTGATAATGCAGAGTAGGTGATTCTAAGGTCAAGGTCAATTTATATATCCTTTGAAAGGTCTTTTCACTCCTCCTACAGTTTTGGTCTGATTTCAATATAACTTGGCACACAAGTAGACTATACACTGAGATCCATAATTCTGTTCATTGATTTTTGATTTCAGTGAACAGTGTTTCCGTGGTTACTAAAAATAGAAATTTTTGTGAAATACTTAAAATGCTACTCCTCCTACTGTTATGATCTGATGTTTTAACATTATGCTACATGCAAGTAGACTACACTGAGATACTAATATGTCTTTGATATGCCCCTGTAATGGAGGATTCTGTGATATAGTTTTTGTTGTCTTCAGCTGTCTGTCTGTTTATATGCAAAAACCTTGCCCATAACTTTTGATTTAGTGCAGCTATGACCATCATATTTCACATGTTTATTTCTTGTGACAAGACCTTTCTTTGGGTACCAACAAAGTTGACCTTTTGACCTTGACCTAGGAGTTTGACCCACTTTAACACAAAAATTCCAAACTTTTATGTTGACTTTAACTTTTGAGCAGTAGATTCTAGGACTTTCATACTTCAAAAATGTATATCTTTTATGACAATTAAGACCTTCAATTGAATACCAACAACTTTGACCTATTGACATTAGAGATTTACATACTTTAAAAACATTAACCTAGGACATAACTTTAAAACAGTGAAGGCTACGGCTTTCATACCTCACATATGTAATCCTTGTGAAAAGAAATTTCATTTCATACCAAGAACTTTGACCCTTTGACCATGACCTTGGAGTTTGACCTACTTTTTAAAAAGTATCCGTTACTATAACTTTTAAGCATCAATTCATCATTAGGGTGTTTGCTATAAGGGTGTTTTATACTGTATATTGAAATTCAAAAAAATGAAGTTATAGTTTTATAACAAAGCTTTTATTTTTATAGAATGGAGCCTAGACGATCTTCCCGAGTTCGCCAGCGCCCCCGGTGGTTCGCCGACTACGTCGTGGACTTTCCTGTAAGTGATAAAAGATTCACTTAATGTAGCAAATTTTATTTAGGAAAGTAAGGGGGGGAGAGGGAAACCACTATATTTGATTTACATCTCCAACTCTCAATGCAAAATTCAGTGAAAACTTTTTATTGGAAGATAGAATTTTCTGGCTATCCCACTTCTTTCTTTCTACTGGATTACCATTGTCTTTGTTTTTCATAAAATCTCAAAAGAATATGAGAAGGATATATGATTTAAATATGCACTTAGCTGAATATCTTTATGCCTTGTTCACACGACGAGTTTAATTCGCAGTAAATTAATGCGAAGTAAACTAATGCGAATCAAAATAATGCGAATTAAATTGCGTTCACACGACAGCTAATGCGAAGTAAACTAATGCAAATTAAAATTCTACTTCTACGGCCAGGCTTCAGTAAGGCTATTATGACGTCATTTGCAAATCACGTCACCTTACGCAGGAGCAGATGCATTTAACATAATGTTACAGTGTCTGTATGTACATTTTAGTGATTAACGCAAATTTCCTTAGTTTTTCACTAAAAAATAGCACAAATACTTCAAGCTGACCACGGACATTTGGCATTTGACCTAATTTTGCCATTACGCATGCCTCAAAATTTAATTCGAATTAGCTTCGCTTAGCGTTCACACGGAGCTAATGCGAAGTAATTTAATGCGCAGTAAACTAATTCGAATTAAACTAATTCGCATTAAATTCTCCGTGTGAACGCTAAGCGAAGCTAATTCGCATTAACTTTACGTTTAATTCGAATTAAACTCTCCGTGTGAACAGGGCATTAGAAGTGTAAGAAATATTTAAAGGATCCCCAGCACTAATACATGTTTTTCACACTAATTTAGAATTAAGGTCTGTTAAATATAAACGGGACTCTGAATTCATCTGAGTTAAGTAATATGTTTATGTACATGACCTTATATAATTGACTGCCGTCATGAGAAAAGGGCCCTTATCTTTTGACGTCACAATGCTCAGAAAATGACGTCAAAGTCGCGGTATTGTAAACACGGAAGTAATTTTTGTTGACCGCATTTTGTTAACAAGAAATAAAATTGAATTTCAAAGTGTAGCAAAAATTTCTAACTTAATGCGGACATTTTTTTAAAAGGAATATGATATTATTACAATTTAGTACGTAAATTTATTCATAATTTTATTTAAATATTTAATTTGATGTTGAAATACGGGTCATTGGACATGTACATTGCTAGCTCTGAAACAGCGATTAAAACGATGTCTGTGCATGACTAAATTAAAAATGCTGCATATTTGTTTTCTGAGCAATTTACAAATGCTTAAATTTGAATTCATGTTAAGAAGTCTAAATATTAAAAGGTATATTCCATATATTTGTATATTTTTTCAGAGAGAGAGAGAGAAGAGCGAGAAAGAGGTCTATGCACATAAAGTAATTACCGTTCTTATAAGCGCTACTTTTTTTTCCTGAAAATATATACCTGCTTATAAAACGTACAGAGTGTATTTAGCCATTTTAATTTTAATCCATAGTTAATCATACTGATGTACCCCGATTGCCAGCCTTCGGTGAACTGTTGATTAAAAATGGAGGGGGGATAAGAAGACTAAATATCTCCGAATAAA